GCAGTGTTTCATTCTGCTGTGCATGGGGTGGCTATGAGTTGGAAACGACTCGACAGCACTTAACAACAACATAACACCAGTTACAACTAACCGCACTCACCACTGTTTTTAAATTATTTGCTCATCTTACTGTTAGTAGGGAGCTCTAGTGGTGTAGTGCCTAAGGTATGTGACTGCTAACCAGAGGGCTGGTGGTTCAAGCCCACCAGCCACTCCTCCCAAGGATGATTGGGTGACCTACTTCCATAGAGACACCACCTTGGCAACCCAAGGAGGGGTCGCTAGGAGTTAGATCCGACTCCACGGCAGTGTGTTTTTGGATTGTTAGTAATGTGTACTACATACAATGCAGCAGTATGTAATTTGCTGATGTTAGTCTCAGATGTTCACTTGCAGATGTTCAATATAATGATTTATTGTTCAAAACACTGCTGTATAGCAGCCATGAAAACAAAATGAGGTATTCCACTTACACCAGAACCAACTTACAAAGGAGTCATTGGAATGGAACCTTGTCATGAGTTGGGGACTACCTTACTAACTTATTTTTGTATCAACCTTATGAAGGAGGTACTATCATTCATCCCATTTTGCAGTTGAGGAAATTGAGGCCAGAAAAGTCAAGTCAACCACACAGTTAGGGAGAATTGGCCCAATCTGGCTCTAGAATTTAAGCTATAATCACTATGCTGTACTACTTTGCTAAAAGAGACAGTCTTGATAACATACCCTGTGAGCCTCTAGACTTAGCCATGCTGAAGTTGGACCCTGGTCTTTTTATTTATGTAAGTCCACAAATTTGTTGTACTTAAATCATTTTTAAATGAGGTCTGCCCTTTGAAACCATACACAGCATGACAGCTATAACACACTCTCAAGCCCTACCCTAACAAAAGTATAAGCCCACTTCCACTCCACTTCCAGTCTGGGACACCTCCTGAGGGCACCTGGTGAAGGTGAGGACCCGAAGTCAAAATTCTTGGAGGTCAGAGGACACAGAGGGGTCTTTTGGGCTACCAGAGGCCCCGTGCTCACCTGTAATGGTCCCAAAGTAGACATAACCCTCGTTCTTGCCAGCGGGGAGGGCCATCACATACTCGGAGCCATTGCTATGGAACTCCACAGGGCACAGCTTCTGGATACACTCGTTGGCCAGGACACGCACCCAGCTGCCTGTGGGGGCCAGCATAGGGCCTCGGGCCCTGGTATTTGAACCTGGGCCCTGGGCCCATCCCATCCCGCTGTATCTCCCTACCTAGCCTTAGGGAGCCTGGTATAGGCCTCTGGAGCTGAAGTACCTGTTTATGTAGTGTCTTGGCATGGGGACACCAGCTGCCTTTGAGAAAATTCCCCTTGTTCACACTCTGTCCATGACATTCAAATTGGACTGATTTCACCTTCCTACTCCTGGCCAGAGCAATTGGTTTCCAAGCTAAACATGTGACCAAGCTGGGCAAATCAGAGATAGTCCCAGCTTGCAACCACTGACAGCCACCACAGAAGAGGCCTGACAGTGACAGCCGGCTCCTGAATGCAACTAACTGTGTCTGAAGCCAATTGCTCCTGAACTTTTAAACTAAGTAACCCAATAAATACCCCCTCTTCTTTGCCTTCTCCAACAGTCAGTCTTGTTCTCTCTTGAGCTGTCTGTCCCTTGGTATTTCTCTGTTTTCCTGACACTCTGTCTCTGTACATGTCTCTCTCTGAGTCTCTGTGTGTGTCTTTCTGTTTCTGTTTCCTTCCTTCACTCTCATGCCCCCTCTTCTCTCAGCTGGTTCACAGTTCCTGGGATGGTTGGTGTGAAAGCCTCCATCCCAGTGTATCCAGGGTAAGAAAAGACCCATGCAGGGTAGGCAGTGATGATTCAGGACCTTGAAAATTTCTCCGATACCCCCACCAACTCATCCATGGTAGGTAGGTGCATCCAGTAGGTGGGTTCACTAAGGTGCCCTCCCTGGGGCTCCAACAGCAGGTGCCCCTGCCCAAGATGCCAAGGATCCCTCCTGACCTGGCCACGGCCCACTCACCACTGTTGCTGACCTCCTGGAGGATGGGATAAGTGCCTGTAAAATAGTAGACGAGCTGGTTCTGCCGAATGAAAAGGGTGCTCTCGGTGGCAATGGTGTCGTAGATGGTGGCTGAAAACTTGGTCTGGGGGCAGTAGAAGGAGGCTACCCAGCAACTGTCAATGCTGAGCTGTAGGGCAATGGAGGTCAGTGGTGAGCAGTGGGCCTTGGCCTCAGCCCCCATGTCCTACCTTGTGGGGAGACTATACTCTGACAACTGTTTGGGACAGAAACACACAGCTGCCTCTAGGGTACCTTCCCTGATCACCGTGTAGCAGTGCCTTGGGGATTTATGTACCCTGCACAAAGCAGTCACTGGTGCTCAGCAGTCCTGGTTCCCTGGCCACAGTCAGGGTTGCCTCTACATGAGTACAAAACATCCCATGCTTGACCCAAAGACAGATTTTTAACAATCCTATTCTTACCTTGAACACTAGTAGCTGTTGGTTGAATCCACTGATTGATCACTAATAAAGTCTCTACGAGTGAGAAAGCACCTAAAAGAGCTAATCTAAATTTAATTAAGTGTCTGGAGTTCACCATCAGCTTATAGGCAGTATGAGATCAGAGGAGTAAGTTCACCACCGTTACCAAGAAGCAGGCAGACAAAGTCTAACAAGAAAAGCCTGGTTTCTTTAACGAAATGTGCCCCCCAAGAAAAGGTGGGCTTATAGGGTAAAAAAGTCTTAGAGACTCAGTCAGATACAATGTGTGGATTCTGGTTCAAACAAGCCAAATTTAAAAGACATATTTAGATGTTGCTGTTGTTGTTGTTATGTGCCGTCGAGTCAGACCCGACTCACAGCGACCCCTCCCTGATAGGAAATTTAAATATGGCCTGGTAGTAGATGGTATTAGGAGATGACTGCTTATTTTGCTGGGTATTATAATGACATTGTAGTTTTAATTTTCAAAAGACCTCATGTGTCAGAGATACTTCTGCAAGTATTTCAAGAATTTACAAGCCAAGTGGTAATAATGGCTGAGATTTTCTTCAGAATACTCCAGAAAAAAAAAGAAAAGAAAAGAAAAGTAGGTGGAACAAAGAAAATAAGACAAAATGTTGATAATTACTGAAGCTATGTAATGGACCCACATGGTTTTCATGATACTATTCACTCTACTTTTGTATTTGATTGAAAATTTCCATTAAAAAGTGGAATTTTCTATTAAATTTCCCAATAAAAAGTATAAAACAAAACTCTAGGTTCTGCTGCTGAGAGAAATTTCAGCTAATTAATGAGAATGTGGATATTCTAACTTTTCCTACTCAGCATCCTCAAAGTGCCCTTGAAAATGTTATTTCTAAAGAGCAATCTTGTCAATCACTGTGGTGCAGTGAATTACTTAATCTGGCCCTTCTAGCCATGGTCATTGTGACTACCACCAGATGACTGGGGTAGGACTATGCAAATGTGAGGTGCTTGTGGCCCACCAACAGGGTTGGATAGCTTACTAACAATGTAAATAAGGTGCATGGTACCCTTGTGGAGGTGGGAGCATGGAAGTAAGGTGTATGTAACCCTAATGTGGGGATTGGTCAGTTTTGCCATGTCACTAGGCTTAAAATGAGCTATCCCAGAAGCAGAAGGGGGAATCCCACTGCCATCAAGAAAGAAAAGCCAGGAATGGAGTGCATCCTTGGACTCAAGATCCCTGTGCTGAGATGGCAGACAGATGATGGCAACAGAGACAGCAGAACCAAGAGACCAGCATGAGACATGGGCTTGCTGGCCCACGGAACGAGAAAGCTGAGTGCCTTTGGGCAAGAGACTTGCTGCTGGATGTGCGGTACCTCTCTGGGCACCTATCTGCAAGGGTAAAAGATCTTTGTAACAATTGTTGGAGCATAACAGAGGCCAGGCTGAGGGGCTAAGGGCCAAAAAGAGGTGTGCCCATGGGCATGGCTGAGGGGAAGTTGTCCTCGATTAAAGAGTTGTATCCTGAGTATTCCTGAACCTGAATTGTAACTTGTAACTTCCCTAATAAACCCTATAATCATAAGTATTGTCTTTGAGTTCCGTGTGGCCATTGCAACAGATTTATTGAACCCAGCAGAGAACTAGAGAGTGCTGTGGGAGGGGTGGTCGGTGTCAGAATTGGTAAAAAGTTTGGAGGGGGTCGCATGTCTGACCTCCACCTCATAGGAATCAGCCTTGGGCTTCTGATGTTGTTCTCAATCCTTCTGCCCCCTTGTGAAGTGACAAGAGGTCAGAAGCTGCCATCACACCCTTTTTGCAATCACCCCAACTAGAAATTGTTGCTGTAGCTGATGAAATTAACCCACTCTCTAAAAGGACTATAATTTTGATTAGTTGTCATATTTAATGCATTTCTCTGTTAATAATATTTGAATTGGTATCGCTGTTGTCTGTAAGAAATAATTGGAAATTTCCTTTGTTAAGCAAGAAGAAGGTCGTCATTCCTCCCTCTTCTCCCATATACACGAGGAAAAGAAAAGCTGTGCATCAGCTCCACTTCTTATTTAGGCCAAGTTTGAGATTTCTACTCATTTATCTCAATAAACAGTGTGTTGAGTTCCTCTGGCCATGGCAACTGAGTCAGGGTGGAAAACAGCCAGAGCCAAATGGAAGGAATCTTGTGATTTGAGAGCTGGGGGGTAACTGGAAGGATCTTTTCCCTGGACATGGGCCTGAGAAGGTACAGCAAAAAGTTAGAGCACAAAGTCAACACAGAGGAACCAGGTCCAAAAGAGACAGAAGCTCAGTCTTGGTGACATTATTTGAAATCCTGGAATAAGCCAAGTCTGATGTCCTGAATTTCTCAGTTGCCTGAACTAACAAATTTTCTTTCCTACTTTTAGCAGATGACTAGTTGAACTTCCAAACCTATTCTCCTCATATTCTCTGATAACTGAGTTTTAGCAGGGAACAAGCCACCCAGATGGACATTGTATTTCCCAGCCTTCCTTACAGTTAGATGTAGCCAAGTGACTAATTTCTCACTGATGCCATAAGAGTAGATGTAAAACTTGCTTGAAAGAAAATGGCTTGCCCTTCACTGGCCGTAACATGGATGTATGCATGGCCCAGCTCTGACCAGACAGATGAGGTCACCATGTCAGGCCTAGAGATGGAAACATGAGAAAATAGAAGGGGCTTGCATTCCTCATCTCCACACTGTCAAGAGAATGAGAAACAGTGTTTATTTAAGCTATTCCCTTTGGGGGTCTCTTTGTTACAGCATCTAAAACCTGAACTCTAACCAACACAAGGCTGAGAACAGCTGTGTAAGGAGAGAATCTGAGTTTCCTGAGGCAGCCTTGAAGGAAGTGGTGAGGAAAGACAGGAGGAGAAGAAGAGAGAGGAGATAGCAAGATAGGGTTGCCAGGGAGAAATCTCCATGATTAAAGAACAAGAACAAATGGAGTTTTGAAAGAAGGACACAGAGAAAATGTAATCACAGTGGGAAGAGAGCTGTTACATTATAGGGATTGCAATCAATGTTCTGAAACAAAATGTGTATGAACTGCTATGTGGAAAATGAATTTGTTCTGTAAACTTTCACCCAAATCACAAGTCAAAAATAAAGTAAAATAAACGAGGTTTTATTTGGGCATGATGAAAGTGTTTTAGAACCAGATAAAACTGGTAGTTGTACGACACTGTGAATTCATTAAATACCACGGAATTCTTCACTTTACAATGATTAATTTTATGTGGTGAGAGTTAGACAATAATAATAACAAAAAAAAAGAAACAAAAAACAAGAATAAAAATACTTAGATTTCAAACTGAACTTGTCTCCAGCCATGTGATATAAGCCCCTCCCCCGCCCTCCACAGCTCTATCGCCAAATCCACATCAACCACACAGTCCCTGGGAGTGTGACTGCCTCAAAAGAGTGTGAAAATTGAGCAATGTCTAGATAGACTTGGCCCAGAAAAGAGAGAGCTGGCGCAGGATGGAGAGATGAACTACAAACTGAGCAAATTCCATGTGAGCAGTAGTTCAGAGCCAGAGGAGGCCAGGAGAACATTAATCCGCATGGGGGTCGGTGATGGTTACGTTTGTATGTCAACTTGGCTGGGCCTGGTTGAGTGGCTGGCCATCTGGTGGTAGTTATTCCCCATGATGAGACTGGTAATCAACTCCATGGTGGGATCTACCACAAGCAGCTGAGTAGCTTTTGGGATGTGGTCTGCTTCCTGTATTTAAGAAGAAGCTTTGAGAACGGTCTCTAGACTATGGCACACTTGGACCCTGCATGCTGTTGTTCAGCAGCCTGCTATGCTCTGGCAACCTTGGGACTTACAGTGGACTTAAGTTAATGGCCTGCCATGTGGTTTGGTAACATCGGGACTGTGCCATTTTACTTGTCAACTTTGGGGCTTCTCAGCCTCAGCAGCCAGCAGCTATCTGAGTGAAGAAACGCCTCTAGCACCAGTGGGCCAGGAGCAGGAGGCAGAGCTGGACCCCAAGGTTGAGGGGCTTTCACCCAGCCCCTAGAGCCTGGAACTTTGAACTTGGACTTAAAGCCTCCAAATTGTAAGAATAAACTGCTTGTTAAAGCCATCTCATTTGTGGTATATTTCTTGTCAGAGCGGCACTAGGTAAACAGAACAGAATTTGGTACCGAGAGAGTGGGGTGCCGCTCTGACAGATACCTAAAATGTGGAAACAGGAGTAGAGTGTGTCCTTGACCCGAGACCCTGGCAGAGAGACCCCGGCATATGGCAGGACAGATGGCAAGAGACTAGCATGAGAGACAGCAGGAGCAAAGCCCAGAGAACGGCATGAGAGACGGCAGGAGCAGAGCCTAGAGAACCGGCATGAGACAGCGACAGCCTTACCAGCCCACGGAGGAAAGAGCTTGATGCCTTTGGTTAGGCGTCTTCCTGGCGGAGTGGGTTGCCTTCGGGCATTAATTGGTAGAAAAGATCGGCATGAAATGGATTAGCAGGTTGGCCGGCCCATGGAGCAAAAAGCCGAGTGCTTTTTGGGCAGTTTTTCAGCGGGGTGAGTTGCCCTCGGGCATTAATCGACAGAAGTGGAAAGACCAAGGAAATGGAAGCAGAGCTGCCTCAGCCTTAAGGGTAGGACCATGGCCTTTGGGGGTGGAACAACCACAGCCCCCTAGGTTTCAAAGAGCCAGGCCTTCACCAACTTGGTTCTGGAGTGTGGGGCTGCTCGTTGGTGTGAGCCAGTGGGATGGAGCCATAGCCACTGCCCAAGAGTGAGGGGGCGGGGCTGCCATGCCCAAGAGGGAGAGGAACAGGCCATTTCTAGGCCACAGGGTGAGGTCACTATTCAGGAACTAGGGGACTGGAGCCACCCAGTGGAGGAGACCTGTACCACCCACTGAAGATCTGTACAGATGCCAAGTTCACAAGAGGTGGAATTGTGATGGTTATGTTTGTATGTCAACTTGGCTAGGCCTGGTTGAGTGGCTAGACACGTGGATGTAGTATTCCCCGTGATGAGACTGGTAATCAACTCCATGGTGGAATCTACTGGGAGCAGCTGAGCCTTTGGGTATGTGGTCTGCTTCCTGTATATAAGGAGAAGCTTTGAGAATGGTCTTTAGCCTATGGCATGCTTGGACCCTGCATGTAGCCGTGCCATTGCTCAGCAGTCTGCTATGTTCTGGCAACCTTGGGACTTACAGTGGACTTAAGTTAATGGCCTGCCATGTGGTTTGGTAACATCGGGACTGTGCCTTTTTTACTTGTCAACTTTGGGGCTTCTCAGCCTCAGCAGCCAGCAGCTATCTGAGTGAAGAAATGCCTCTAGCTCCAGTGGGCCGGGAGCAGGAGGCAGAGCTGGACCCCAAGGTTGAGGGGCTTTTACCCAACCCCTAGAGCCTGCCACTTTGAACTTGGACTTAAAGCCTCCAAATTGTAAGAATAAACTGCTTGTTAAGGCCAGCCATTTGTGGTATGTTTCGTGTCAGAGTGGCACTAGGTAACCTGAACAGGGTCTCAGAAATTACAGTGCAAACAGTTCACACACTCAGGTGCTAACTAAAAGGTGCCATGGAAGAAAGCTTGCTGATCTACTTCCAAAAAAATTCGGTCACTTCAGGCATGTACAGTGAACATTTACACCTGGCAGGTACAATCCATAAAACAGTCAACCGTGGGAGATCAGAAGGGCAGTATTTGCACAGGGAGATAGCTCAGAGAGCAGGAATGCACAGGGAAGGATACAGGGAAAGGTAACCACAGGGAGGAAGTGGGAAGAGAGCTGTTACAATGTGGGAAATGCAATCAATGTCATGAAATAAAGTGTGTATGAACTGCTATACAGAAAATGAATTTGCTCTGTAAACTTTCACCCAAATCACAATTAAAAAAAAAAAAATAGGTATTGGCAACAATGTGGAGAAATAACCTTCATCCATTGCTAGTGGGATAGTTGCTGTGGGAAACAGATGGTGGTTCTTCAAAGAGTCAAACATAGAATTATCATATGATCCAGTATTTCCGTTCCTTGGTAGATATTAAAAAGAATCGAAAGCAGGAATGCAAATAGATATACCAATGTTTATTTCAGCACTGTTCATGATAGCCAGAAGGTAGAAACAGCCTAAATGTCCATCGACAGATGAATATGAATGGATAAATAAAATGTGATATATACATACAGTGGAATATCACTCAGCCATAAAGAGAAATGAAGTCCTGATGCACGCCACAACACGGATGAACCTTAGAACATGCTGAGTGAAATAAGTCAACCAAGAAAGGACACACATTATGTGATCCCACTTACATGAAATATCTAGAATAGATAAGCATGTATTTGAAAACCCTGTGGAGCAGTTCAAAGGACACTGATGGCACAATGGTTAACTATTCAGCTACTAACTGATAGGTTGGTGGTTCAAACCCTGGCAGTGGCTCTTCGGGAGGAAGACCTGTGGATCTGTTCTCATAAAGATTACAACCTGCCCAGGAGTGAGGGGGCGGGGCTGCCATGCCCAAGAGGGAGAGGAATGGGGCCACCAGGCCAAGGGGGTGAGGTTGCCATTCAGGAACTAGGGGACTGGAGCCACCCAGTGAGAAGATCTGTACAGATACCACCCACTGAAGATCTGTACAGGTGCCAAGTTGACAAGGGGTGGAATTGTGGTAGTTATGTTTGTGTGTCAACTTGGATAGGCCTGGTTGAGTGGCTGGGCAGCTGGTGGTAGTTATTCCCCATGATGAGACTGGCAATCAACTCCATGGTGGCATCTACCACAAGCAGCTGAGTAGCTGCTTTGGGTATGTGATCTGCTTCCTGTATATAAGGAGAAGCCTTGGGAATGGTCTCTAGCCTATGGCACGCTTGGACCCTGCATGTAGCTGTGTCATTGCTCAGCAGCCTGCTATGCTCTGCTGACCTTGGGACTTACAATGGACTGAAGTTAATGGCCTGCTGTGTGGTTTGGTAACATCGGGACTGTGCCTTTTTACTTGTCAACTTTGGGGCTTCTCAGCCTCAGCAGCCAGCAGCTGTCTGAGTGAAGAAATGCCTCTAGCTCCAGTGGGCTGGAAGTAGGAAGCCGAGCTGGACCCCAAGGTTGAGGGGCTTTCACCCAGCCCCTAGAGCCTGGCACTTTGAACTTGGAATTAAAGCCTCCAGACTATAAGAGAATAAACTCCTGTTTGTTGAGACCATCCCATTTGTGGTATATTCTTGGCAGAGTGGAACTAGGTAACCAGAACACAGGCTAAGTGACTTGCCCAACGTCACAAAACCAGGATGTGGCAGAATCAGGATTTAAACCAAGGCCATTTGGCTGCCAAGTCTTATGTTTTTCCTCCGTGTTATCTGCCTCTTGTGATGGCTGGCATGTCTCTAGGGGTCCCTCCTGCAGCTCTAGGCCCCACTCTATTTTAAGGCTGAGGACAAGTTCCCTTTGAGAGGCCCCGGCCTGCTCAGCAGCACTCACCTCTATGAGAGAGAAGTCCTCGAAGTTGGTGTCAGTCATCAGGATAGACTTCGCATCAGGAATGCCACCCAGGATAAGCACGGGTGCCTGGTCCACAGTGTACCAAAGGGGCCGGGACTCACTAGTCATAAAGTACCAGGAATTCAGTGTTTTGACCTACCGGGGAAGACAAGAAGGGCTGCTCACCACCTGCCCAACTCCTCTGTGACTCCATCTCACTAAGGGTCTAAGTCACAGTCCTCCCTGTTGCCCATGATACCCCACACAATCTGCCCCCCTCACCTCCCTGACCTCATCACCCCTCACCCTTCCTTTCATTCATTTGTCCTAGCCACATGAGCCTCCCACTGCCTTTTCTCAAACTTCCCAGGTACACTCCCACCTCAGAGCCTTTGCACTGGCTGTTCCTTCTGTCTGGAAATGCTCTTCCCCCAGCATCCACATGGCTTTCTCCCTGTCCTCCTTCAAGGATTTCATCAAATGTCAACCTTTTCAATTAAGTTCTTCGTAACCATTCTACTGAGCATTGCAACCTCTGCCTCCATAGACCCAGCCCTCACACCCTGTCTGGTTTCTCCTCAGAGCACTTGACCACCTTCTAATCTATTATGGAATTTACTGATTTTCATGTTTACTAATTTGGTCTGTCTCCCCCACTGGAATGGCAGAAGGGCAAGGAATTGGGTCTGTGAGTTCACTGCTGGATTCCTCATGGTGCCACAAAATGTGGTCCGTGGGTGGCTGCTGAATGAATGAGTGCACAGTGAGTAAGAATATAGGTACAAATCAAAAGAGTAAAGAGACAACCTACAGACTGGGAAAAGATCTTTGGGAATGATATAACTGATCAAGGTCTAACATCTAAAATATGTAGAGCACTTCTACAGCTTAACAACAAAAAGACAGAAAACCCAATCAAAAACTGGGCAAAGGAGATGAACAGACACATCACCAAAGAGGATATTCAAATGGCCAACAGATACATGAAAAGATGCTCAATGTCATTAGCCATCAGAGAAATGCAAACCAAAATCACCATAGAATCAAATATGCACGAGCTGTTGAACATAAACAAATTTGCACCCAAAGCACAATAAAATTTGAAAAAAAAAAAATCACAATAGAGTATCATTTCACTTCTACTAAAAACAAAAAAACCAAACCCACTGCTATAGAGTCGATTCCGACTCATAGCAACCCCCATTGGGTTTCTGAGGTGGTAAATATTTACGGAAGAAGATTGCCCAGTCTTCCTTCCACAGAATGGCTGGTGGGTTTGAACCACCAACCTTCTGGTTAGCAGTCTAATGCCTCAGGCACTGCACCACCAGAGCTCTTTCACTCCTGCTAGGATGCAGAAATTGGAACCCTCATCCATTGCTGGTAGGAATGCAAAATTATACAGCCATTGTGGAAAATAGTCTGGCAGTTCCTCACATAGTAGAGTTAGAGCTGCCATGTGAGCTAGAAATTTCACTCTTAGGTATAGACCTTAGGAATCTAGTAGAAGTGACATATATAGACCTATGTTTATCACTGTATCACTCATCTGTCAGTTTGTCGTACTGTGGTGGCTTGCATGTTACTGTGAGGCTGGAGGCTATGCCACCAGTGTTTCAAATACCAGCAGGGTCACCCATGGTGGACAGGTTTCAGAGGAGCTTCCAGACTAAGACAGACACAGAAGGAGGAAGGGGCCATCCACTTCTCAAAGAATTGGCCAGTGAAAACCTTATGAATAGCAGTGAAACACTGTCTGATACATTACTGGAAAACATTATGAATAGCCCTGAAACATTGTCTGATATAGTGATAGAAGACGAGCCCCTCAGGTTGGAAGGCACTCAAAATTAGACTGGGGAAGAGTTGCTTCCTCAGAGTAGAGCTGACCTTACTGATATAGATGGAGTAAAAGCTTTCAGGACTTCCATTTCCTGATGTGGCACAACCCAAAATGGGAAGAAACAGCTGCAAACATCCATTAATAATTGGAACATGGAATGTACAAAGTATGAATCTAGGAAAATTGGGAGTTGTCAAAAATGAAACAGAACACATAAAGATCAATATCCTAGGCATTAGTGAGCTGAAATGGACTGGTCTTGGCTATTTTGAATCAGACAACCATATGATCTACTATGCTGGGAAAGACAAATTGAAAAGGAATGGTGTGGCATTCATCATCACAAAGAATATTTCAAGATCTATCCTGAAGTGTGATGCTGTCAGTGATAGGATAATATCCATAAGCATACAAGGAAGACCAGTTAGTACTACTATTATTCAAATTTACACACCCACCACCAAAGCCAAAGATGAGGAAATTGAAGATTTTTACCAGTCTGAAATTGACCAAACATGCAATCAAGATGTGTTGATTATTACTGGTGATTGGAATGCAAAAATTGGAAACAAAGAAGACTCACTAGTAGTTGGGCACTGGAGATTGCATGATAGAATTTTGCAAGACCAACAACTTATGTTCATTACAAAGATCTTTTTTCAACATAAATGGCTATCCATGTGGACTTCACCAGATGGAATACAGAGCAATCAGTTCAAATACATCTGTGGAAAGAGGTGATGGAGAAGCTCAATGTCTTCAACCAAAACAAAGCCAGGAGCTGACTGTGGAACAGACCACCAACTGCTTGTATGCAAGTTCAAGTTGAAGCTGAAGACAATTAAAACAAGTCCACAAGAGCCAAAATATGACCTTGATTATATCCCACCTGAATTTAGAGATCATTTAAAGAACAGATTTGATGCATTGAACACCAATGACTGACAACCAGAGGAATTATGGGATGATAGCAAGTGGATCATTCACGAAGGAAGGAAAAGGTTATTGAAAAGACAAGAAAGGAAGAAAAGACCAAAACAGATGTCAGAAGAGACTCTGAAACTTGCTCTTGAATGGAGAGCAGGTAAAGCAAATGGAAGATAAAAGAGCTGAACAGAAGATTTCAAACAGCAGCTGGAGAAGACAAAGTCAACTATTATAATGAAGTGTGCAAAGACTTGAAGTGAGAAAACCAAAAGGGAAGAACACACTCAGCATTTCTCAAGTTGAAAGAACTGAAGAAAAAAATTCAAGCCTCTAGTTGCAATATTAAAAGATTCTATGGGCAAAATGTTGAATGATGCAGGAAACATCAAAAGAAGATGGAAGGAATATATAGAGTCACTGTACCAAAAAGAGTTGGTTGATGTTCATCCATTTCAGGAGGTGGCATATGATCAAGAACCAACGGTACTGAAGGAAGAAGTTGAAACTGCACTGAAGGAATGGGCAAAAAACAAGGCTCCAAGAATTGACAGAATATCCATCGAGATGTTTCAACAAACAGATGCTGCACTGGAAGCACTAACTCGTGTATGCCAAGAAATGTGGAAGACAGCTACCTGGCCAACTGACTGGAAGAGATCCATATTTGTATACATCCCAAAGAAAGGTGATCCCACAGAATGTGGAAATTATCAAACAATATCATTAATATCACACACATTTTATGTAAGTAAAATCTCACTGAAGAAAATTAAAAAATGGTTGCAGAAGTATATTGACAGGGAACTTCCAGAAATGCAAGGTGGATTCAAAAAAGGATGTGGAATGAAGGGTATCTTTGCTGATGTCAGATGGATCTTGGCTGAAAGCAAAGAATACCAGAAAAGATGTTTACTTGTGTTTTATTGACTATGCAAAAGCATTCAATTATGAACCTACATCTGTGGCTTCTAGCCAAACAAAAGACAGGCATATGAGTTGAACATGTACCTGAGGTAGATATACTCCTTGGAGAGAACAATCATGGGAGAAAGAAGGACTGTTTATGCACAGGGAGACAGCTCAGGGGGCAGGAGCACATGGAGGGATGGATACAGGGAAGAGGTAACTAACTATCAGGAGGAAGTGAGAGGGAAGCTGTTGCATTGTGGTAAATTGTAGTCAATGTCATGAGACAACGTGTGTGTGAACTGCTGTATGGAAAGTGAATTTGCTCTATAAACTTTCACCCAAATCACAATTAAAAAAAAAAAAAAGCATTCAATTGTGTGGATCATAGCAAAACATGGAACACAATGAGAAGGAGCTCTGGTGGCATAGTGGATAAGGCAATTGACTGCTAACCAGAAGGTCAGTGGATCAAATCCACCAGCTGCTCCATGGTAAGACAACTGGGCAATCTACTTCCAAAAAGATTTACAGCCTCAGAAACCCAATGGGGCTTGCTATGAGTCAGAATTGACTCTATGGCAGTAAGTTTCGTTTTGGTTTGGTTTTGAGAATGGAAATTCCAGAACATTTAATTGTGCTTATGTGGAACCTGTACAGAGATCAGGAGGCTGTTGTTTGAACAGAACAAGGGGATTCTGCATGGTTTTAAATCAGGAAGGGTGTGTATCAGGTTTGTATCCTTTCACCACACTTATTCAATCTGTATGCTGAGCAAATAATGCAAGAAGCTGGGCCATATGAAGAATGTGGCATCAGGATTGGAGGAAGACCCATTAACAACCTGCAATATGCAGATGACACAGCTTTGCTTGCTGAAAGTGAAGACTGCTTTGAAGGACTGATGACTACAGTCTGCAGTACGGATTACACCTCAACATAAAGAAAATGAAAATCCTCACAACTGTACCAATAAGTAGCATCATGATAAATGCAGATAAGTCAAGAAATAAGATATTGTATTGCACTGGGCATATCTGTTGCAAAAGACCTCTTTAAAGGTACACCTAACCCAAGCCATGGTGTTTTCAATCATCTTATATGCATGTGAAAACTGGACAATGTATAAGGAAGACTTAAGAAAAGTTGATGCTTTTGAGTTGTGGTGTTGGTGGGGAATACAGAAAGAACCATGGACTGCCAGAAGAACTAACAAATCTGTCCTGGAAGAAGTACAGCAAGAATGCTCCTTGGCAGCGAGAATGGCCAGACTTTGTCTCATCTACTTTGGTCATGTTGTCAGAAGGGACCATTCCCTGGAGAAGGATATCATGCTTGGTAAAGTGGAGGGTTAGTGAGAAAGGGGAAGGCCCTCAATGAAATGGAGAGATGGACTGACACAGTGGCTGCAATAACAGGCTCAGCTATAGCAAGGATTGTTAGGCTGATGCAGGACCGGACAGTGTTTCTTTCTGTTGTA